TATGTATGGAAGCTTTTGGATGGTCTCTTATTCCTTAATGTTCCGTGTAGTGAGGAGTTTTCTGGTTTTCTCAAGATTTGGGCTTAAGTCTCCTGCCTCTGGATTTCAGTTTTATTCTTCCAATAGCCTCAAGACTTCTCCAACTATACAGCACTGATAATAAAACTTCTAGGTTAATGGTGAAAAGATTCTCCACCGTGAGAGACAACCAGAGAGGTTCACAGAGTTACATGAAGAATGGGAGAGGGAGGAAGGAGATAGAGGTGAGCAGGAGGAGAAAAAGGGGACTCAAGAGGAGAGAGACAGATCTACGCAGTTATCTGTTCCCAAAGTGTTCTCTGTAGCCCAGACACCCACAAAGATTCACAGAGTTGGATTGGGAAGAGAAGGGGAAAGGAGGAAATAGAGGTGTTCCGAGGTAGAAAACAGAGAGTCAAAAGTGGGAGAGTAATCACCACACTCCTGAATAGAAATGGGAACTGAATATTGGATTCTTAAATGACCAAAATTAATATCACATACTACTGAAAAACAAAGATTAAAAATCTAGTGTAGAGGTTAGACTCCTTGAAATACAATATTTAAAAACAAAAACACACAAAAAAATTTAGAAATGTATATGAAGTTCGATTTAAAAATAGGGTTTCTCTCTCTCTCTCTCTCGTTTTTTTTTGGCAAGGTTATAGTGAAATGAAAATGAAAATTAAGGAATAATAGAGGAGTATTAGAGGACTTTAAAAGGAAATAGGAGAGAAAAACAAGAAAAAGAAAAAAAAATTTTTTTTCCCTAATTAAAAAAATCATAAAAATATATGAAAATGAAAGTTGACGAGTAATGGGGGAGTAATAGGGAATTTTAAAAGAAAATAAAAGAGAAAAAATAAAAAAAAAATTTTTAAAAAGGAGAGAAAAAAAATTTTTTTTAATTAAAAAAAAATATATATATATATATCTAGGAATTTCTCTGGAGTTGTTGCAGTCAGCATAGGTTCAGTTCAATTTCAGATAGCTCCTGTTTCCAGCTTACACTTCTCGATATCTGTAGGCCCCTTCCTGTGTATTCGGTGTTACCTTCAGGGATTTTAATCTGTTGCACCGGTCATTTCTGAAGCGGTTCCCTTTGTTTATTTGGCTTCTGTTTGCGGTCTCTTTTGTGTCTAATTTCCGCCCTGACGCAGGCGGGCGGAGGTGATCTCTTATTTAGGTTCTCTAGTTCAGTTCAGTCCTGCTACGGGGAGGGCGGGGCGCTGCAGACAGATACCGCTCTGTGTAGATAGCACTCACCGTGTTCCGGTCACACTGGGTTTGCCCCGCTCACGGGTGTCAGTGCTTTCGCCGTCTACACTGCTCAGGCTCCCGGCTGCTCTATATGGAGCGGGCCCTGCGTTGAGTGCGGTTCCAGTTTTCGGGTACTCCACAAAAGCGCAGATTCGGTTGCGCCTGCGTTTTGTGCCTTCCCCGGCCTGAGCGGTTCAGGCAGCCAGAGGCTTGGGCGCACTCTCCCCGGGTACGGCGCGCCTTGTCCCTCCGCGGTGAGCGGCTCAGGCAGCCAGAGGCTTGGGCGTACTCTCCCCGGATGCGGCGCTTCTTTTCCCTCCGCGGCGGGCAGCTCAGGCAGCCAGAGGCTTGGGCGCAATCTCCCCGGGTACGGCGCGCTTTTTCCCTCCGAGGCACTCGGGCCGCCAGTCGGGTCTCAGGAAGTCTTTAGATAGGAACCGGGGGCCTGTTAGCAGTGTGGGAGGGGGTGGCTTCTCAGGGGCTGAGTTTGCCCTTTCCCCCTCCCCCCTGCCTCGAACCTCCAGCGGGGATGGGCCGGCTGTTCTCTGGACTTTCTCAGTCCCTTTGTTTTGCGAACCGCCGGCAGTGTGTTCGGGCCTGTTAATTTTGACCCTTGCTATCCCACAGTTTAAAAAATCTCCCTCCGATTGCTCTCAGGGTCTTCGGGCCGGTCCTTACCCTAAGCAATGCCGCCCGCTCCTCTCCGTCCCGCCCCCGCTTGTTGCTGGCGGGTACGGGCGTCTGGGATGCTTTTCTGCTGGGAGTTGCTTTTAGGCACGTAATCTGTGGGCCTTGTTTAATTTTTCCTCCCAGTTAGATTGCCGAAAACTTCCCCCAGTCCCGCCAGTGCGAGGGTTTCCTGGTGATTGGAAACTTCCTCTATTAAGACTCCCTTCCCGGGACGGGTCTCCGTCTGTAGCTCTTTTGTCTCCCTTTTTATCTTTTATATTTTGTCCTACCTCCCTTCGAAGACAATGGGCTGCTTTTCTGGGCGCCTGATGTCCTCTGCTAGCGATCAGAAGTTGTTTTGTGAAATTTGCTCAGCATTCAAATGTTCTTTCGATGAATTTGTAGGAGAGAAAGTGGTCTCCCCGTCCTATTCCTCCGCCATCTTGGCTCCTTCCCTTTTTTTTTGGTTTCACTTTATAATTTCTGAGGCTTTTGCAAGATGGGTTTTTCAGTCTTGGGGTAATATTAGTGTAAATTAGAATGTTTACTTATATATGTAACTTGCATATGTTGGTAATTTTTGAGACTTTTCTTTTGTGAATTTTTGTTATTTTAGTTGTGAAATTTTAGTAGTTATTATCCATATCTCCTTGTGAGAAAGACTGTCCTTCCTAATGTTCTGTCCTTTTGATTGAAGTAATAAAAAATAATTCATTTAACATGTTTGAATAGGTAGTATATTCATATAATACAAAACTCAATAGGAACAAAAGCTTATATAGTGAAAAGTCTCTTTGCTCCTTCTTGCCAACCTCCCAGGTCTCTTCCTCTGAGGCAATTACTAGCAGTTTCTGAGTTACTTGTGTATCCTTCCAGTAAAATGTATTGCAGCACTGTCAATGTATATATTAACACACAAACAAATGCATTCTACTCCCTCCCCCCCCCCCCCTTTTTTTAACATGGAAAGGGAGCATATTGTGTATATTGCTATGTTCACTTCTTTTATGTTGCTTTTTTTAACTTAACAATTGTTATCAACAAATAACTGTATTGGGCTTTATTGAGCTGGAGCATCATAATTTATTTAACCAGTTTCTTCTTGATAATTATTTCTAATCTGCTGTTGCATTCAGTGCTTTAATTAATGTTCATGTTCATGTCATTTCACACATGATTGAGTATATATGTAGGGTAAAATTCTACAAATGTTGTTACTGGATCTAAGGATAATTGAGTTGGTAGATACTGCCAAATTTCCCTGTATGGAAGATATTCAACTCCCATCATCAAAAGGTTAATATCTATTTCCTCAGATCCTCACCCAAACAATTTTTAGTAAACTTTTGTCTTTATCAGCCTGATGGTGAAAAATGCCTTCTCACTGTAGTTATAATTTGTATTACTCTAATTATGAATGAAGTTAAACTTTTTTCCTGATGATTAATAGCCTCTATTTTATTTTATTCTTTTAATTTTATAAACTGTCTGTATGTATCTTTGGCCGTTTTTTCCTGTTGGGCTGGTAGCCTGTTTTCTTATTTGATTTGCAGGAGTTGTTTATCTTTTAGGAGAATTATACCTTTGTGAAATGGATTGCAACTTTTCCCCCACTTTGTCATATGTCTCTTGACTTTTCTTATGTGGCTTTTAATATACAAAAATATTCAATCTGTTAAATTCAGTTGACATGCAGGTGATTAGTTTTTTTTCCTTTATAAAGTCATAGCCTCTGACTTTTTGTATATCTTAGTAAGGTCTCCCCCTTATGAATAATAAAGCATACATTTTTCATTTCTTCTGTATTTTTGTGGTTCTGTCAATTTTGGATTCATCTGAAATTTATTTGAATATCAGTGTTAAGACGTAGCACACACAGCCAAAAAAAAAGAATCATATTGTAAACAGCCAGCACTAAAAAAGGATTAACTGTTGCTATTACTATTTTGAGAGTAAACATGAGTAAAATTATCAGAAGGAGGTATGTTTATTTATGTTTGTTTTCCTTCCTTGACAGTTTTAAAAACCATGTGAGGGTTTTCCTTTCTAGTATTATAAGCATATAATCTTGATATTTCAAGAACAATTTATAAAGACTACAGATTAACAGAATCATAGTGTTTTAATTTTTTTATGATATTATGCAGTTGAAGGTGTTTATTATACATTCTTTACATAGCAGAAAAATTGGAAACAATCTTGAATGGTTCAGAAAATGGTTAAAAAAATTAAGAGTTGCCACTGAAACAATGCTGAGAACAAATTAATAATGTGGGGAAATACTGTTAACAAGAAAAAACATGGTACAAAGTTGCATCTACTACATGATCTCAGCCATATTAAAATAAGTAAAAATAACTAGAAGAAAATATATCAAATTATACCATCTCTTAGTATTTAAGATTATAGATCTTTCCCCCCTTTATTATAATATATACATCTTCCATAAAAAGGAATTTTTATTTCAGGAATTTCACTGAAATGGTAACAAAATCATCTGTGGTTCCAGTAGACTTTGTTGTGCAACTTTAGTGCAAGTTACTGAAGTTTTATGGTACACCCAGTATTTCTGTACAGTTGTCTTTTTCTGCTCCCTATTAAGATAGTGACATGTAATCATGTGTGGTTATCACAGTCATTCATGTAGAGTTTAAAAATATACATGCCTCAGCTCTATCCTAGAAATTCTGATTAAGTAGATCAAGAGCAGGACAAGCATTCATAGTTTCTGAAAGCTCCACGGTTGATTTAAATAGGCACTGTAGCTGAGAAAGTTGTCTGTAAGCAGAAACTGTTTTGTATGATACTAACTTTGTACTTAACTGCAGATATAAACTTTTGAATTAGCATTTTTAAAGCCTTCACTTGCATTTAGTTGTTAAACTTCAGGGGAAAGGAGCATATGTGAGTCACGGAAAATAAATGGTCAAGAAAAAAATAAAATAGATATCATACTGTTTAAAAAGTTAACTAGGAAAAAACATAAAAGATTCTGTTTAATAATATTGCATATCCAATTCATGATAGTTTTGGTTTTATCTCTTTCTTCATAGTGAGTGGAGTGCCATAGAAAAAGAAATGGGTGATGGACTGCAGAGTGCTGGTCATCATATGGATGTGTAAGTACCCAGAGAATTTAAGGTAGAACTGGAGGTGACATTTAGTGCAAAAGTGTTAGTGATTCTTCTGTTTTTAAAAAGGTTACTGGCATTTGTATTGTGCTTTCTGTATACAGATTTGACTTAAAGAAGTTTATCTCAGGAATGCAAGATTAACATTTAAAAATCTTTCAGTTCAGTTCAAATGTTAGCAGAACAGAGAAGAAAATCCAGATGTTCATTTCAATATATGTAGAAAGCATTTTAACATCCATTCACAGTAAAAATATTCCTCAAACTAGGAATATAAAGAATTTCCTCATTGTAAAACATACAGCTAATACTGTACTTAATAGTAAAATATTGATGTTTTCTCCTAAAATCAGGAATAAGGCAAGATTGTCTGCTCCACCACTACTGGTGGAAGTGGTAGCAGAGGTCCTGGTCAGCGCAGTAAGGCAGGAAGATCAGATAAGTGGCATACGTCTTAGAAAGGAAGAAGGAAAACTGTCCTGCCTTTATTGGCAGTTAACAGGATTTTTCTGTAGAAAATAATCAACCAAAAATACTGTAGAGCTTTCAACTGAGTTTAATGAGAATGCATGATACATAATGAATATATGAAAAGAACATTTTTGCATACTAGTAAAATTAGAAAATAAAAGCTTAAAAATGCTGCTTATAATAGTGTGAAAGACCTCTACACTGAAAACTTTATATATAAACATTGCTGAGAGAAACTGAATACCTAAATAAAAGGTGAGATTAAACCATGTTCATAGATTGGAAGACTCAGTAGTGTTAATATGAGCATTCTTCCTAAATGACAGTCCCAATCAAACCTCCAGTAAGTTTTAATAGAAATTAATCAGCTGATTTGAAAATGTATATAGAAATTCAAAGAACATGAAGTAGTCAAAACAGTCTTGAAAAAAAGGACAAAGTTGATTACCTGATTTCAAGACTTACTATAGAGCTATAGTTATCAGGCAATATTGAGATAAACAGATCCATGGAATAGGGTAGAATTCAGAAATAGATCTACATTTACATAGCTCATTTCAAGAATGGTTCTAGAATAACTGGATATCTTCATAGGAAAAAAAACTAAACCTTGAGGGCTTCCCTTTTGAATCAGCATTAGAGAGTCCTCCTGACAATGTAGGAGCCACCGGTTCAACTCCTGCTCCCGGAAGAGCCCACATGCCACACGGCAGCTAAGTCCCTGCGCCACAACTACTGAGACTGTGCTCTGGAGCCCAGGAGCCACAACTTCTTAGCCGATATACTGCAGCTACCGAAGTATGCATTCCCTAGAGCCCGTGCCCTGCAACGAGAAGCCCATGCACTGCAGCTGGAGAGTAGCCCCCGCTCTCTGCAAATAGAGAAAAACCCATGCAGCAACAAAGACCCAGCATAGAAAGGAAGATGGAAAACTGTCTTTATTAGCAGTTAACAGGATTTTTTCTGTATAAATTTTATTTTTTCTGTTGAAAATGAGTAATTTTTTAAAAAAGTGAATCATTTAAAAAAAAAGGAACCTTGAGCCATCTCTCATATCTTACATAAATGCTAATTCAATTTGGATGATATACATCAATATAAAACCTTAAACTACAGCTTTTAGTAGAAAATAGGAGAATATTTTAGCAGCCTTTGAGTAAGCAAAAGATTTTTTTTAAAGGACATGAAAGGAAAAACAATCTTTTAAAAATGGTAAATTGTTCTTCAAAATTAGAATTTGGGGATCTCCCTGATCGTCCAGCAGGAAAGACGGCCTGCTTCCAGTGCAGGGAGCACTGGTTTGAGCCCTGGGTAGGGAACATGTTGTGCCAAAAAACAAAGAAAATTAATTAAAAATTTGGCTTATCAAAAAATTCTGTTGTAAGTGGAAGGAATGTAGGAGTATAGTCAGTTGGGGAAGATAAGTTCAGGAGATGAATGGTGGTAATGGTTGCACAACAGCATGAAAGTACTCAGAGCCACTGAACTATATACACCAATAAATTGTTAAAAAGGTGAATTTTACGTTACATTTTACCACACACACAAAAACACACCCCATTAAGATGGTGAAGAGGCAAGCCACAGACCGGGAGCAAACATTTCCAACCAAAATATATAAAGAACTCCTACAACTGATCAACAAAGAGACAAAAATATTTATTTTATTTAAATATCATTTTTCTTTGGATTATTGTTTAAGCTGACCAGCTGCTTTTCAACTATTTTGTTGTCTTCATGCATTCTGTTGACAGGACAGTCTCAGTATTTGCAGGAATTTGGGATTATCCCTTCACTTGGTTTATGTAAATTTTAAATAAAATTAATTTTAGTACTAATACCTAAAACATCTTTACCACTTGCTTCTTTATCCACACTGTGTTTCCTATCTTCAAGCCACCAGCTGCTTACCTTCTTTTTTGTTTTCTTAACATTAACTTCTCCAGAATCGTAGATTTATGAACTACAGACAGTTATTCCTACTCTTAACAACATTCTCAAGACATTTTTCAGTCACATAGGACAAAGTCCACACTCTCACAAATGTAAATTTATATTTACAGAATATGTATTTTGCCTACTTTCATAAATACTATAAGCATGTTGCTTTTCAGTGAGCATTATCTTAGATTTTTTGTTTATTTTTTAATTCAATAAACTTGTTTACTTAACTACATGTAGAAGCAGGCTTGGAGACATAAAGTATATTTTTCTTTTATGCCCATGCTAAGGAATCAGAATTAATTTGAAAAAAGAATGCTACTTATACCCTACAGAAATAATAAATGACATAGCCCATGTCCTTAGGAATTTATAATGTGATCAGAGAAAGTGTTGTTGCTCAGTTGTGTCCAACTCTTTTTGACCCCATAGGCTGCACCCCATGGACTCTGTCCATCTAATTGCCCAGGCAAGAATACTGGAGCGGGTAGACATTCCCTTCTCCAGGGGATCTTCCCAACCCAGGGATTGAACCTGGGTCTCTTGTGTTGCAAGCAGATTGTTTACCATCTGGGCCACGAGGAAAGCCCTGGTGATCAGAGAAAACCAACACAACACATTTCTTTTTTTTTTTTTAATTTTTATTTCATATTGGAGTATAGCCGATTAACAAACAGTGTTCTGATAGTTTGAGGTGAACAGTGTAGGGACTCAGTAATGCGTATACCTGTAAGAGACATTTCTTTGATAAGATTTAAGTTCTCAGTTTTTGACAAGAGATCAGAAGTAGAGTGATGAACAAGAAATCTCTGGGAAGATTTCTAGAGGTGTTGAGGATTTGGAAAGGCAGTATGGAGAGCCGCTATAGTTCTGTGCAAAGGAAGACTCAGAACAAGAATGGCACAACAGTGAGGGACTTGTCCAGATCAAAGCAGAGGTTGCTACTGAGAATTAGAGTAAAATAACGCTTCTAAAATTTTCTGTGATCTTTATTTGCTCAACTGTTCCTTCTGTAGCTTTTTGACTTTATGTAGTTGCTATCAGGGGATACTAAATTCTTCAATTATACTAAATTCTTATTCTTTCTACAGATTTTGTAGCCCTTTTTATACTACATTTAACAAAAGATACTACAGTGCTCATTAAGCTACCTTAAGAAGGACAATTTTTTTGTTTGCTTTGTTCTTTTAAAAAGCAAGGGCTTTATCACCAAGCCCTTGCTAAACACATTTTGGTAAAATTCCGTAGAATTGTCATGGTAATTAAGGATTGCTGTTGGGGGGAGGGATAGATTAGGAGTGTGGGATTAACAGGCACAAACTACATAAAATAAGTAACAAGGGCATACTGTATAGCACAGGGCACTATATTTAATATCTTGTAATAACCTATAATGGAAAATTTGAAAGAAAGAAATATGTAATTGAATCACTTTGCTATATACCTGAAACTAACATAGTATTGCAAATCAAGTATACTTCAATTAAAAAGTTGCTATAAATGTTTCTAAATGCTTATTCAAATTTTTTGTACTTTGGTCATTCATGGGTAGCAAATGGTCAGTGGACTATGCTTTGAATAGCTCCTCTTTAGAATATTAATATTTTGTGTCTTGATAAAAGTTACTATATACATTATTTTTTAAACAGATATGCATCTTCTATTGATGATATTTTGGAAGATGAAGAACATTATGCGGATCAGTTAAAGGAGTATCTTTTTTATGCAGAAGCATTGCGGTAAGTATAATACATGTTCCAGATGCAGTCCTATGGCTGGTCAACACTCTCTTCATCTGTTACTCTAAAATAAAGAGCATAAGGTGATTTTTAAATGAATTCCTTCCCCTAGATATTGAATGAGATCTCACTGTATTCCTATCTGTTGCAGAGTGCTAGACATAGGAAATTTTTTTTTTTTCATTTATTTTTGTTAGTTGGAGGCTAATTACTTCACAACATTTCAGTGGGTTTTGTCATACATTGACATGAATCAGCCATGGAGTTACATGTATTCCCCATCCCGATCCCCCCTCCCACGGCCCTCTCCACCCAATTCCTCTGGGTCTTCCCAGTGCACCAGGCCCGAGCACTTGTCTCATGCATCCAACCTGGGCTGGTGACCTGTTTCACTATAGATAATATACATGCTGTTCTTTCGAAACATCCCACCCTCGCCTTCTCCCACAGAGTCCAAAAGTCTGTTCTGTACATCTATGTCTCTTTTTCTGTTTTGCATATAGGATTATCATTACCATCTTTCTAAATTCCATATATATGTGTTAGTATGCTGTAATGTTCTTTATCTTTCTGGCTTACTTCACTCTGTATAATGGGCTCCAGTTTCATCCATCTCATTGGAACTGATTCAAATGAATTCTTTTTAACGGCTGAGTAATATTCCATGGTGTATATGTAGGAATTTAAGACAACCCTGATCCCTGGTGGTCAGATGATAAAGTGTCTGCCTGCAATGCAGGAGACCTTAGTTCGATCTCTGGGTTGGAAAGATACCCTGGAGAAGGAAATGGCAACCTACCAGTATTCTTCCCTGGAGAATCCCATGGACAGAGGAGCCTGGAGGGCTACAGTCCATGGGGTCACAAAGAGTTGGACATGACTAAGCGACTTAACACTGTCACTATATTTGAAACATTATATTGATAAAACCTGTTAGTCTCTGACTTCAGGGCTGTCTGTATGTTGTTCTTTCTGCTTTTTCCAGCTTGGAGATTGGAAGCAAAGTACACATTGAGTGTGTGTTATCATGATCTGTCATTAGATTGTATATTACCTTTAAATTCTGTGACGTTTCCATACCTGCATATTTTATCTCCTTAGTAAGATTGTAAAATTTCTTAATGTCAGGACTTTGTCTTCTGTTTTTGTGGTATCTCCTACAGGGCCAAACAGAATTCTCTGGGAGATATTCCAGTTTAGAAAAATGAATCATTTTCCTGCCACTTTTAAAATCAGTGTAAGAATTCTGTTAATAAAACAGAAGAACAATATTCCTTTGGCTGTTCAGTAGCTGGGATGAAAACATCACATTGTTAGCCTTTTTCCTTCTAGAGCTTTGAGTAGTAGAGGTCACACCAGGCTTTTACCAAAGGAAGGTTGCTCAACACAATGGAATTCTTTGCAACTCTTAAAGATTATAGAAAAGATGAATGTATATTGATAAAGAAATGTGTCCTTGGTATATAGTTCAGAAATGCCTAGTTAAAGTCTAGAACAATATATACCACCTATTAATATGAATTGTGTCTGGATAGTAGAACTAGGGAGAAGAAAGTGTTCTTGAAACTTATTTAGTACATTCCTGTATTAGAATCTTTTTTTTTTTTTAGTGAGCATGGATTACTTTTATGATAATGAAAACTAATAGACATTTCTCAATAGAAAACTTTGAGATAATCTTTTTAAACAATATTCAGTTGTTATGTGAGATGATAGCATTAGTTCCAGTGCTGTACAAAAAAAGCTTTTTTAAAAAATGTATGTGATAAAAATTTAATTTAGCAGAACCTAAGCATAAAAACTTTATAAATCAAAAAAGGTTGTTTTCCATCTGGGCTACTACATTTTAATGTTGGGCTACTACATTTTAAGCTTAAAAATTCTATATATAAAACTTCTGATCATAGTACGTGAATGCCTCCACTTTACTCCCTGGGGAAAAATTTAACATGTTAATAATTAGAGAGGCCACAAAAATTAAATGGCAAAAATTAAATTTTTTTCCTAGGGCTGTGTGCAGGAAACATGAACTTATGCAGTATGACTTAGAGATGGCTGCTCAGGACCTAGCATCCAAGAAGCAGCAGTGTGAGGAACTGGCAACTGGGGTGAGCTATTTTCCATTTGGGTCTTTGGTATTATTATAATGAACCTTAAGTGAAATGGGCTGCAGGATGCCTGTAGCTTTTAAAGGGGAGTAATTTGTGGACAACTTTATAATTCTTTTGGTTGTGATCTTAACATAAAAAGATATAAGCCATTAGGGACTTCCCTGATGGTCCAGTGGTTAAGACTACGTGCTTTCATTGCAGGGAGCACGAGTTCAATCCATGGTCAGGGAACTAAGGTCCCACATGCTGCGTTGTGGTGGCCAAAAAGTAAAATTAAATTTAAAAAATTAAGTCTTAAAAAAAAGCAACCATTAAAACATATATAGCGTTACAAGAAATTTTGCCAGATTGCACTGTGTAATAAGAACCATCTCTTTTCTGATTAAGTCTAAGTGGAAAAAACCATTATTCTTTGGGATTGAAATAATGACCTTTGCATGGTTTAATTTTATCACTTACATTGTAGAAATTTTAGTTAACTTTGAAAAACTTTGCCCTGTTAGAATCAGTGCCTCTCTCCTAACAGAGAACTTTTTGTGTACTTTATTCTTGAATCCTTACAGTGAGTACTTGTGAAGAAAATTTTGTATCTGACTATATTAGACTTAGATAATTTTTATAATCAGCTTTCTATTGTCCAGCTATTTCATTGGAATAAATAAGCTGTCATGGTGAGAGCACACAATCTGGAAGTAATGAAGCAGTGACAGTGCCACTGTTTATAAGTCATTTCATAGTTAACAAGTCCTTGACTTCCCTGCTGGCTCAAACGGTAAAGCATCTCCCTACAGTGTGGGAGACCCGGGTTCAAACCCTGGGGTGGGAAGATCTCCTGGAGAAGGAAATGGTAACCCACTCCAGTATTCTTGCCTGGAAAATCCCATGGATGGAGAAGCCTGGTAGGCTACAGTCCATGGGGTCGCCAAGAGTCAGATACGACTGAGCAACTTCACTTTACTTTTACAAGTGCTTGTGGGCTACCCACATAAAGATACATGGGGAAGGACCTTTGACCATGAAGCAGATACACACTGGCTTGATTTATTTTTAAAATCCAGGGGAAATTTCCAGTCCATTTTCAGGGAGCTTGGCTCTCTACTCCTGCATTTGCAGGGAAAAGCGTTTCCTTCAATAAATTCCAGAGAGTGAAGAGATGGTGAAGTTTGAGGCTTGGGTTTAGTCATTCTGTTTTATTAATAGATAACCAAGTTTTAGTGTGAATTATGCAGATTTTAAATGGTTTTTTCAGTTTGGTTTATTTTCATTGTTGCCTGTTGAATTTTATCCATTTTTTATGATCACAGAATAATTGAAAAAATATGACTGCTGACATAAATAACTTGCCTAGTATTTCACCTGGAAGTTTTCTATATGATGAAGAAGCTCAGTTAAAATTTTTCCTTTTTTGATTCTTCAACATTTTCTAGTATTATAAGCCTTAATAGTAGCCCCTTGGTTGTATGGTTTGTGGTGTTCTGTCTGAGGTAGGGGGAAAATGACTATGTCCTCTTTAAAAAAAATTTGTGGTAAAATATACAGAACATAGCATTTATTATTTTAACCATTTTTCAAGTTCAGTAGTAGTAAGTTCATTTACATTGTTGTACAGCAAACCTGCAGAACTCTTCATCTTGCAAAATAGGAACTCTGTACTTATTAAATATCAACTATTAATTTCCCTCGTCACCTTGCCCTTGGCAGTCACCATTCCACTTTCTGTCTCTGTAAGTTATACTACTATGGATACTTCATGTAAGTAGACTTGTACTGTATTTGTCTTTTTGTGACTGGCTTATTTTACTTAGCACAGTGTCCTCAAGGTTCATCCATATTGTAGCGTGTGTCAGAATTTTCTTCCTTTTTAAGACTGAAAAATATTTCAGTGTATGGATGTTATTTATCCATTCATCTGTTTCTGTTTCATTTTAGACTGTGAGAACATTTTCTTTGAAGGGAATGACTACCAAGCTCTTCGGTCAAGAAACTCCAGAGCAGAGAGAAGCCAGAATAAAGATGCTAGAAGAACAAATAAAGGAAGGAGAACAACAACTTAAGTCTAAAAATCTGGAAGGCAGGTAAAAATGCTGGGATGTTTAACATGGCTAGACTTTAGGCTCTGTGGCAGGTGGCTTATAACGATTCCTAGCTTCATCAGTCCCTGGATGTAGCCTCAATCTTCTAAAATACAGTGCTTGACTATTCCTGAGAAATTTGAGTAATCAAAAATCATGTTACACAGAAACAGTTGTGTTAGTGTTGGGGAAAGGGGAAGAAGGAAGTGTTTAAACTTCATAATATTATTTTCTTGCACTTTACATGATTTCTATCCTTTGCATATTTCCTCTACTCTATTCTGTCAGTTAAAAGCCTCATCATTCTGCAATGCCCAGCTCTTGAACTGCTTCCTTTGTTAAGCCTTCTCTTATCCTCACAGGCTGTCACAGCACTTGGTTAATGCCCTTATCCCACGGCACTTTGTACAGTGTGACTGTCTCTGGCTAAATTACAAGCCCTTCAAAGACACAGTGATTGTGTCTTCTTCATCTTTATGTCCCAGCACCTTGCATATGACTTAGAATATAATTATTCCATAAATATTTTCAGAAATTCACTTCTCAGAGATCTGCCATGGACTTTTGGGCTCATTTTTCATGTTGTTTTTGTCAGTTTTGACAGTTGTTGAGTAGATCAAGGCAGACTAAGAGTTTCACTGATTTGGAGGTGGTTTTGTTAATTTTTGAAACTGCTGGTGTCAAGTAAGTCAAAGTTAACTCATGAACAGAGTTAAAAAGACAAATGGATCACATGTTTAAAAAAAAAAGACAAATGGCTCTCAGAACTTTTAAAACTCTAGTTGTCATTTAAAGAAAATACATGATAAATGTGATACATAATCCATCTTGTTGAAAAGACTGTATGTTTTGCAGTGACTCCAGGCAGGTAAGTTCATGCGGCATCTGTTGGCTTGTAAGTTGGTTCAAGGAGCCATTTACATCTGTTTTACAGGAATAATTTGAAGCTGGAATTCATGGTAAAAGAGACTATTAAAATGTAGAAGAGTGTATGGCTGTCTGCTTTTTCTCTCACTTTATAGACAAAAACCCAACTCAGATGAGAAGTGTTTATTTGAATTAATAATATGTAGTTTATTTAATTTAAATAAGAATAATAATGATGACTGTACCCTTTATTTCAGAGAGTTTGTCAAAAATGCTTGGGCTGATATTGAACGCTTCAAAGAACAAAAGAACCATGATTTAAAGGAGGCCCTCATAAGCTACGCAGTCATGCAGATCAGTATGTGCAAAAAGGTAGGTTTTGGTTTCATTGAAGGTACGAGTATATTCAGAAGTGCTGGCAAATTTCTTTAAAATCAGTTTCTTATTTGGAACAAAGTATATATCATTTTTATTTTTAAAGTCCATTCTTCTCTTCCAGAATGTTTCCCAGTTTCTCTACTTAATTTTGAAAGAAGTGTCATAATTAAAATCTTAATTACCAAGTCTCCACTCATCTAAAGTTCCAAATTTGTATGCCCTGTTTTTACTTGTATTTGAAACTATGTACTAAAAACATTACTATGGTTATCTGATATTCTTGAACAGGGCAGTAAAATACCATTCCTAACAGCGATACATACTTTCACTGAAAAATGGTCTAAACGTTAGGGTTTAGATAGAGTAGTATCTAATGGAGTATTCATTGTTAGAAAAGGCAAGATAGATCTCACATGCACTGTCCTAATAAGATGGATCTCACATGTACTGTCCTAATGAGATGTCCTAATAGAACGGCAGATGAGAAAACAGGCTACACACTAGTGCATATAATGCAATCCTGTTTTTGTGGGAAAGAGGAAAGTGTGTATTTTTTAAATGATTGTATGTATACAAATGAGTTTGAAAAGATACACATGAAAGTGTGTATTAATAAACATGTCACTGATACCTCTCGTATAAGGTATGAACACTGAAGCTTATTCTGGTTAAAATAAGTGTTTTGGCAGTGATGGAAATTTTTTAAAATGATGTTGTAAGAACAAAATGTATAATATTCCTTAACCTCATTTTCAGAACCCCAGAGCTGCCTGTGTGATCACCAGTCAGTACTGGTGCTTTACATTTCTCTAGTGCTTCTTAATTTATTGAGTGATTCAGCATGCTTTATCTCAGTAAATCATTTAGTAAGTCAGTCTGGGACATTAAAGGATTCTTGTGTGGTTTTGTTTTGTTTTTCTTTTTGTGTTTCATCAGGGAGGAAAAAAAGCTAAAAAGATTAATTTTTTTCCTATTGTTCAAAGCCTCAATAAATATTGATTAACTTTAATGTGTAAGTATTAAAATTTCTTGATAAATTAGCAGTTATTGAAGAATATATATATATAAACAGGATGTATATATATCTTGTTTGTTGAAAACATACCTTCCACCACTGTCTAGATTTTACTATTACATTTTTTACAAACATGCATTTTTGTTTAAGCCTATTAGGTATATAATAGCATGTTAGTTTTTGCTAAATAGCCTGCTATAACCACTGAGAGGGAGTTCATAACTTTTTCTCAAAATATTGGTTATTAGGTTAATAAATTAATAATATTTAATTGTTAGACTAATCAGGTTTTTTGTTTTAGATATTGCAAAACTTGTTTGTTTTATAAGTAGAAATGATATGAATATATGATATGAGTAAATGAGTCTTTCAAAAAGAAGTAGGAGTTCTGTATCTTTTTTGAAAACAGGCTCATACAATGATTCTATTACTTTTTTCACAAGTATTTCACTTTGACTTATATTTGCCATTGCCAGAAAAAGTGTTGTGTTTGTTGTACTTATTAATTATTCCAAAAGTTGAAACCTAACATACCAGTAAGCCAAGTACTTGGCCTTTCAAAATCCTTCCAAAATTACATTTTAAGGTTTTGGGGCCTTTTTTTTTTTTTTTTTTGGTTTGTTTTAAAAGGGAATTCAAGTTTGGACCAATGCTAAGGAATGCTTTAGCAAGATGTAATCCTGTGAAATGAATTTCTCTTCAATCAAAGTACCCCAAAACAGAAGCACAAGTAAATAAAAAGATTTGTTACCCTGCATACACAAAAATATATAGTAAGTTGAGTAAGTTCAACTTTCATTAATTTGATTATATTAATATAGCACAAAAGGATGTATTTTAATGAAGATTAAATATTATAATTTGAGGTTTTGGGGACTGGTGCTGATTGTAAAATGTTAATTAGATAAAATATACCAACAGATTGTTGCTTCTGAACCAGTGTCTGAATGTCAAGATGTTAGGTCATTTCTAGAAGTTCGTTTCAAGTGCCCACTGTTTCATATCTGCTTATGTAGGGAGTCTTTCCCTAAGACTGAATTCTTATCTTTATTTGGTAAGGCCCACTAATCTATCACAGAGGGTTAATTTTTCTTGCCTTACAGTTGAGCTGTTTGGTTTGACAAAGCTCAGCTGAAATTTAGTGTGAAATCTAAGAATTTCTCCTACATTCATTAATGCCCCCAAACATTACATACACTAGACAATGCCTTCAGTGTGTGTTTTACCAGAATTTTGATATGGTCAAAATTTTATACTGCCAACAAAGAAGACTCAGCTTCTCAGTGGAATACATTGTTATAATCTAGGAATTGCTATATTGAAAGTTTTGAGTATGTTACATATACAAGCATTAAATTCTTAAATAATTCTTAACCTCAGTGATGAGCCTAAATTTACTCTGCTTGGCTCTCTACACATGGCATTTCAGGGTACAAGATGTAGCATTTCAATGTATAAGATATATGTAGTGAACATATGTATTATTATCTTCATTATTATCATCCTTTTTTATTGCTTGGCTATAATTTTTATAAAGATAAATTATATTGCTTTTGTGTATGTGTTTTTGTGGTATATGTTCAGAAGCCAAGCACCCTTGGAATTTGCTAGCTTTGCAGAACTCTACATGTATACTCATTATTACTAATTATGTAAAAAAAAATTTTTCAGTACTGTTCAACATTTGACTTTTTTACATGTTTGAAATGTTGCTGAATTTTTGTGCTGTTTGCCAGACTTATACAGTAAATAAATGAAATACTGTGTTGATTTTCATATGATTTTTGTTATTTAACAAAGTGGTCTATATCTGTTAGTATCTGATGCCCTGTGGAAAAATAATATATGCCATATTATGTTTTGAAGAGTTTAATTGTATAAATTTGTCTTATGCCAAAATGTTGGATTTCTTAAAAATAAGATGCTGAAATGATATATGATTTTTAAATGTTTACCTTTTTTTAAAAAAAGGTAAAATTGTCAGGAGCAAAAGTCATCTTGATAGGTACAGTTTTCGTCCCACTGAAGTGTATCCTCTCTTGGCTCACAAAATAAAATAGCTTTCCATTTGGCCTTTAAAATCAAAAGCCTTTTCTTCCAACCTAACCTTATGCTAAATAGAAAATTTATCAGAGGACTTCCCTGGTGGTACAGTGGATAAGAATCTGCCTGCCAATGCAGGGGACACAGATTTGATCCTTGGTCCGGGAAGATTCCACATAGCTTGGGCAACGAAGTCCATGAGCCACAACTACTGAGCCCCCACGCTCTGGACCTGTGAGCCACCACTCATGAGCTCCTGTGTGCAGCCGCTAAAGCCCATGCACTAGAGCCTTGCTCCACAACAAGAGAAGCCACTGCGATGAGAAGCCTGCTCACTGCAACAGGAGAAAGTCCAAGCAACACTGAGACCCAGCACAACCAAAAAAAAGCATTGGGTTTTTTCCCTACTACCTGACCTAATTTGAGAAGGTCACTAATACCTATGTTTTGAGATAAATTAGCAAAAATATTTTATTATCTCTGAAATATACAGAAATTCATTTGGTTGTATGTATATTTAAGTAGGAATATCTTCACGGATTGAGTTTGAAAAAGTTTCACTTGATAGTACAATAATTCCTTTAAAAAGAACTCTTAAAGGAATTTTATGGTGAAAATCATTTTTGGTACTATTGTGTGTGCGTGTGTGCTCACTCAGTCATGTCTAACTCTTTATGACCCCATGGACTATAGCCCACCAGGCTCTGTCTGTGGGATTTCCCAGGCAAGAATACTGGAGTGGGTTGCCATTTCCTTCTCCAGGGGGTCTTCCTGACCCAGGGATTGAACCCACATCTCCTGCACTGGCAGGCAGATTTCTTGACCACTGCGCCACCTGTATGCATTTACCCTTTTCAGTATTTAAAAACTAGAACTCAAAAATGAATTATTTAAAAGGGAGATAGATCTCCAAAGATGAATATAAAAAGCTTAATATATATATATATATATATGTAAAGCTTGTATGAGCAATAACTAAAGACGACTTATTACATAAATGTAGATAACTTCATAACAGGAAAATTTAATCTTTACAGTGTACCAGTGATGCAGTTAGTGTAGTCAAAGCATTAAAATGAACTGAAGTCATACCTCACCTTCATTTATATCCAAAAACTTGGTGAATGAGTCATTGGTAATTACAACATAGCATCCAAAACAGGAACTGAGAGTTCTTAAAATTCAAGCATCTTTAGAATAAACACATATCCAGCTTGGAGTGGAATGAAAAACCAGGGGTTATGTAACAGGAATGCTAACTAGGCTTTGTATATTCTTATAATCATTTTTTATGTTTACGTGCATACTCTCTCCATGGTAGAATTTACTGATTATCCTGAAAATATTTACCTATAAAAATTTTAGAAATTTTTTTCAAGATTTAATAATCCAGAGAAATAAGCTAACAAAAGGCCAAATCAGTAAAATTGTACTTGCTTCCTTACTTTTATAGCTTTAAATATTTATGTATTTAAAAGAGCAGACTAGAGGGGAAAAAAATGAGCAATAAAATTCAAAGTAAGTAGAAGAAAGAAATATTAAAAGCAAGAGCAAAAATCAGTGATATTGAAAACAGGGCAATACAGTTAACAAAGCCAAAAGTTGGTCTTTGAGAATATTAATAAAATTAAACCTCTAGCAAAGTGATGGAAAAACCTAAAAGACAGATTATCCCTATCAGGAATGAAATCAAGAATGTTATTTAGATCTTTCAGATGTTAAAAGGACAATAAGGAATATTATGTACAAATTTAAACCAATAAATTAAAGTCACCAAATTTCTTGAAAAATACAGCTTACTAGAACTGATACAAGACAGAAAATGTGAATAGTTTTAATATTAAAGAAATTATCAGGAATTTTCATACAAAAGAACTCCAGGTCCACTTTGCTTTATTGGTGAATTCTAGCAAACATTTAAGGAGTAAAAAGCTTTAATTCTACACAGATTTTCAGAAAATAGGGGCAAATGGAATACTTACCCTATTTTTTTAAAAAAATGAAAACAAGTATTACCCCAATAGCGAAACGAGCCAAAGACATTTCAAGGAAAGAAAGTGGCCATACCAATATACATCATGAACATAGATACAGAAATTATTGAACTATTAGCTAGTTGAATCCAGCAGTATATAAAGAACATAATACCTTATGACCAAGTCGAGTTTATCTCAGAATGCAGGGTCGTTTTAAAATTAGAAGAGTCAGTTACTATAATCTACCATAATAAAATAAAGGAAATCCTTCATGATCACTTCAATACATGCAGACAGACATTTGACAGGATTCAACTCTGATTCATGACTTAAAACTCTGAGGAAACTAGGAATAGAAGAAAACTTAATTTGATAAAGTGCATCTGTGGAAAACCTACAGCGAACATCATGTTCTGTTGGGAAAATTAAGTTACTAGACAACTCTCCACTAGACAATATATGTCCCCATTTCCCCCTTTCCTCCCACCAGTGCTGAAATTCTTCTGGCTTTCTCCTTCAACTGTCTCCTTCCCGGATTGTTCCCTGTGCTCACTTTCCTCAGAATATTGTTGAACCTTGAAGAAGATGGCTGCCTCATTCTTAAAGCTTCTAACAGGAGATTCATTCACGTATGTTTACCAGGTGGACACTCCAAGTCCAAAAAGCCTGGGGACTCTGTTGATTCAGGAAGTTTTATGAAATCATCCCCAGATGAAGGTGGAGCTAGTTGATTCAGTAGCAGAAGTCCAAATGAATAAACCATCTTGTGATAGAAGCACCATCAGCAGAAGACGAGGAGAAATTCCTAAATACTCAGCTGTTAAGGCCTTGATTTCAGAGGATAATAGCTAACATGCATGACAATACTATTCATATTACACCTAAAACTGAGGCACAGTGTTGCAGTGTGCTGGCCCAAGGTCCCATCTATAGTAATGAGTAGAGTCAGAGTTTAAATGAACCCAACTAGCATGGCTCTAGAGCCTGTACTTTTTGAGGCTTTTCCCTTTTTGAGGAGCAGAGACTTGGAGGAGACCCTCTGGGACAGACCCATGAGGATGGCAGAGGGATAGAAAAGGTAACTTTCATCATACTCAGATTCTAAGGTATCTGAAAGGAAAATGTCATGGGTACTTCTGAAAGTGGGAGCAGGGAGTGGAGACATGAGAGAGAAGCAGGCTCTGGTGAAATACTAGACTAGTTCTCCAACTTTAATGTGTTTGTGAATTGCTTGGGGATCTAGTTAAAACACAGATTCTGATTGAATAGTTTATAGAGTGGAGCCTGAGAGTCCACTTTTCTTAACAAGCTCCCAGATACTGGCAGTGGTACTGGTCACCCTTTCAGTAGTGAGGTGTTAAATACATACATTTATATTATATTGGACATCACTAGCTATTATTAGGCCAGTGACCTGGCCAAACAGATCTATTTTGATTCAGTTGTTTAGAAAATATACAAAAATTTAGCAGTTATACAAAAAAAAAGAAAATTAGATAATAGCAACTTCTTAGTACTATGTCAAGTTTGGAAGTTGATATCAAAAGCAAGTTCTAGTGAAGCTTTAATGGTAAAGATGAGTATATGGATAATAATTACATAAAAACACTGAAATTTTATAATGTGATAAAAATAGCATTTATGAGGCATTCATCAAAT